AGCAAGCATGGAGCAGGAATAACTGTCTCCTTTACCCACAGGTTGTAGGTCTGATAACTTGCTGTTGACCACTAGTCAGTCATGACCTATCTATTTGAAAGCTGAGTAAGAAAGTTAGGGGGAAAAAAAGAAAGAAATGATGGGATTCCTCATTCCTGCTCAGGAACTAAGTTCATTAGGAAACTCACCCTTATTTGTCCTTATTTTACTTTACAGGTAGAGCAGTGGGTGATCCCGGCTGGAACACCCACCAATGACAGGCAATTCTGTTCCTGCTCCACCAGGTGTGGCCCCAAAAGCTGGAAGCAGGAGGAACATGAGCTCACCCTCCCCTGGGAATGTGCATCCTGGAGGGTGGCCCAGGGAGGGTCTCCCTACCCCACAGCCTTGGCCAGGGCCAGGGAGCAGGAAGCTCACTCCCAGCTACTTGGTGGCGTATTGAGTCTCACAGATTTGTCATTCAATACACGGCTTCTCTCTGCACAACCCACACAGCTAATCCCTGTACTATATTTCTCTCAGTTTTCCCTCCTCCACCCACACTTCTGCTGACTTCTCTCCACACAGGAGAGACAGAACAGCTGAGGAAACAGCAGAGCGGTGGAAAATTTTTGAAAGTGTTTTGAGCCCACCCAACCTGAGGCGAGCATTCAAAGAAAAACAGGAAGAGGGTGAGTAGGAGCTCCCTCAGCCCCCACACACAAGCCGGGGATTGTCACTCCCGCCCACCCCAATCCCAACAGGGGCTGACTGCCGGGACTGAGCCTCCTCCGTGCCCACACGCAAAAATATGCAAATATGTTTTCTGTGAGGATTATGGAATGGAGGCAATCGCTCAGCTATGTCAGACACTGCGTCATGAAACTTGAGGGACAAGTAGCTTCATTTTATTCAAACATCCACCATAAGAGTTCAACCAGCACCTTTGGTCTTAAATTGGAATATCTAGAGGCTATCATACTGGGAGAATGAATGCAGGTGTGAAGATGGATGCGTTTCTGTTCTGGCAACCAAAATTAGAATCCCCAGTCTAGAAGACAATCAATGCCCTGTGTGTATGTGTATGTGTGTGTATGTGTGTGATTTAATATTATTCATCCTTTTCTCCCTTTTTTTAAATTTCAACTTCTCTTCCTACACCAGACCAGAGCTTTTAAGGCTGCCTGTTTGTTCAGGGATTGGGTGTGGGAAAGAGAAGTGAATTCATTTAGTTCTTGCTCCTTCTCTCTTTTGCTACAGATTCCAGCCAGTTAGATGACTTGAAGTGGGCAAGGGCAAAAGGAGATTATCTAATCCCCTTCCTTTCTTCCTTCCTTCATTCACTCATTCACTCATTCATTAAACAGACATTTGTAGAGTATCTGCATTGATAAGCTCCCCATCCTCCCAGTTTATGCTCTAGGCTCAGTCAAACTGAGCTACCACAAGGAAATAATCTTTGATCCTGCTAATTCCCCTTCAGTGACCTCTGGATCAATTTTTGGATCTGGTTTAGTACTATAGGGTTTTTACATAGAACGCAGAACCTATGTAAGGGTTATGTAACCAATGGATGAACAAGATTATAAATGCCCTTCCCTGTGAGTGATCCACGGAAAGGTTTCTAGCCCACAGATTAGATTAGTCCTATCTCCTGGTTAAGTATCCAAGCACTAAAATTAACTTATTCACCCATCCTTCTTTACTGTGTTGGCACAATTAATTTTTTCCCATTTTTGAATAAGAGATTATCCTCAAAGCTGGCCTAATTTTTCTTATTATGTGCTTGATGCTAATTGATATTTACCCATTCAGGTATCACATATGTCTTGAGTAGCTACAATATGCCAGGCACTGTCTCAGGCACTGAGACTCCAACTTATATAATGATCCCTTCACAAAGCCAGCAAGGGAGTGAGGCCAGACAACTCCTGGCTCTTTGCAAGAGACAAAGTAACTTTAATTAGCCATTGCTGTGCAAAAAAAACCACAGTGAAGAATGTGGTTCTAATACAATGGAAAAAAGAAAGGATTGTTTGCATTTGTTGACTAGAGGTGACCAAGTTTTGAGGCTTGTTATCAACTCTACCATCAGACTGGTTATCCACAGACAACATCTTAGAGATTGAGCTATGTAGGCTGCAGTTAAATAGTTAATGTTTCATAAAGTTTCAAAAACACCAGATCCTTTAAGAAATGTTTTAAAGTTGGTTGTCAGAACTAGATGGACAAAAGACCTATGACACATGGCCACTCTCGAAGAGCAAAATTTCCCTTACCTCCTTAACTCTCAAATTGGAGAACCGAAGAAATACAAATAAGTTTTACACTCCTGGGGCTCTGAGAGAGATTAAGGATGAATTACTTCACAGTCTGTTGATGCCAGTCTGGGGTATAAGACACTGAGGCTCATACCAATGAGGGATGGCTCTGATGTGGTGTGTCAGCAATAGACTTAGCAAGTGAACAGGGTAATAATTTGTGGCCAAGAAAATTTTGCTCACTCCATAAAATTATCTGTTGTCAGACTCAGCAGGGATTCAGAGGCGTGAGAGTCAGCCGTGGGCTGTGGACTGGACATACCTTTTCACATCCTGGCATTGAAGGGTCTTTTAGCACCTAATTGGAAAACAGCTCCATCTCCATCACAGCTTCAAACTATCAACAGGGCTCCAAATGAGCAATTTCCCTTCACTTCTAAACTTGCTGGACTATGTCCACTCAATAACAAAGTATCCTTTGTATTGTTCTTTAACCACTATAAACCTCTGCTTATCCAGCCCCTAAAATGCTCTCCTGCAACAAGAAAAATAAAAATGACTCCACTGGCAAAGTCTTAAATAGAATAAACTAAATGACAAGTCTTAAGTTTTAATAAGCTCAGCTTCAGTCTTAATGAAATTGGTGGACAGTCATTTTTTTCCCACAAATGGAGCTGTCATTGATTTCTTTGGCTTTGATGGAAGGACTTGTTTGGACTGCATTGTTGATATCAAATGGACCCTTGTACTTTCTTGTTTTCTTTTTTTAGTTTTGAGGGCCCCAGGATGATCAGGGAAAGGAAAACATTAATCAAAGGGAATATGAATGGTAGTGTATTCTCTCTTAATATCTGGGCTTTTCATGAGACAAAGGAAACTAAGGATGCACAGTAACCCCTGTTGCCAGGCTGTTGAGGTTTGCTAACTCAACTTGTTAATGATAGCAGTTTTAAAAGTAGTGGAAAGAATAAGACAGACATGAGTTTGAAGCCTGACTCCAAATGCTCACTCCACTATTGAATACCTCGGCCAGATCACTTAACCTCTCTGAGTCTGATTTAATGGAAATCACTTCCTACCCCTCAGTGGATGCCATCCCTCCTTTCCCCTGTCCCTGTAGTCACATTTACAAGCTGACATCACAGTATCCTCAATGGGATGACTACCAGGTCTCAGGGTTTCCAGATTTCTGATGATTTAAATATCCAACTATGCTGATATGACTTATGCAAACGCCAGTTGGGGACTGATGCCATAACAGAAGTGAGTCATTTCAGAGCCTTAGCAATCTGATCTTGCCTCAAAGAGAGCTGGGTTTTCCTTACTGGTGGTAGAGAATGGGGTGGGGAGAGATTGCCCTGGGACTCAGGCACTCCTGAGACAGTGTCCTCGTAGCACCAAGGAGCTTTCACAGGTAAGGCCCAGGACCTCCCTGAGTGACATAAAAGAGGGGTTTGCAGCTTGGACTTTGGAGTCTGACAAAATGAGGTTTGAATCATGATTGCCACTCACTAGCTGACTAGCCTCTCAAAGTGTCTGTTTTCTCTTAGAGTTCTTATGAGGATTAAATGAGGCAACATACCTAAAGCACTTGGGACAGTGACTGGCACATAGTAAATGCTCAATGAAAGTCAGCAATTCTCTCTCTGTCTCTCTGTCCTGGCCAGAGTTCATCTCAGCTATTTGCTAATTACTGAAGTCTGCCTTCCAGTGGTTGGCACATTAATAGAGATGCTGTTTCTTGTACAATTGCTATGTTCACACTTCTGCTGAAATGTCTACATCCCACCCAAACACACCCTGCCCAATATTAATTCATCCTTTGATCATTATTTTGTGAAGCCTGTCTTCAACTTGAAAGAAACTATAATTATTTCTCAGTCATATGAAACCTCACATCATAACTAAATAGTTGTTGATCATGAACATAATCAAGAGCTTAAATAATACACTTTATTATTAGAAAAAGCTGTCTAATTTCATACCATTATTCCTAAATTCCGTATCCCACCAAAACAGTTTATCTCAGTAAACTTAGTTAAAAAGAAAAACTAAAAACATCTCTGTCAAAATACAAATATTAATAATAACGATCTGAATATTTACCATGGTATGTGAAGTTGCCAGGAGATGGAAGGTTAAGAAAATACCACCTCAGTAGACAAGTTAACATTTGCCAAATGTCTAGTGGATGCATGGCCCTTTATTAATAAATGTTAGTGTCATTATTTTAGTGACAGAGCTTCACATTTCTTTTTTCCTAGAAGAATCTCTTTAGATTCTTCATTCTTTTGGAGAGACAGGTATGTCTCTGTGATAATATATAGGTGATTAGCTCCTTTATGGTACCAATATATCATGGAGACATTCAGTTTTACATTATATACAAGCTCACTATTAGTTTCCTGAGTTAGGGGGTGTCTATTCTGATATAGCTGGTAAAAAGTGCATAAAATATGCATAAATCCTTTCTAATGACTGAAGTTAAATATACCTCAAAGAATGTTCTATCATTAAAATTCACATGCATTTTTCTTACAAGGGAGTTATTATTCCGCATTGTAGCATGTGTTTTATTACAAACTTGGAGTTCATTGATGAATAGTGATGGAGCCGCAAATCAAGTCAACAGCTTAATTAGCTCAGCAGGATTTTAGGATGCTTTTCTCCCTGGGTGAGCATATGCTCAGAAGTTAGTTTAGGGCCCTGAGCTCAGTTCCTGGGGCTCTGGGTGATCTCTCCGTGAAAAGGGACCCTCACCTGAGGCCCTCGCCCTCTGGGGAGTGCTGTCTGCAGTACTCCAGAGTGTAGGTCTCCGTTGCTTCTGGGTTGGCGGGCCGCCATCGGACAGTGGCTGTGTTCCAACACACGGTACAGTCCTCTGCACGTATCACCGGGGTGGACGGTGCTGCAGAGAGAGAACCAAGGCATTGTGGAGCAAATGCCAGCTCTGCTTCCTGGGACCTGGGAGACCTGCTTGGCTATGATTTTATTTTTAATTTTTTTATCAGAGAATTTATCCTGGGTTGGGAACTCAAAAGGGATCAAAGTTTGTATAGTGAAGTCTCTCTCCCTCCTCTGCCTTCCAAATTGCCCAGTTCTCACCCATCCCCAAACAGCCTCTAACATTAGCTTCTTATAAATCCCACAGAATCTTTTTTTTTTTCTGTGAGTGGAAAATGCCTTTTTAATTTTTTTTTATTTTTAGCATATTATGGGGATACAAGTGTTAAGGTTACATATATTCCCCATGCCCCCAACCCCCCTCGAGTAAGGGCTTGAAGCGTGTCTATCCCCCAAACGTTGCACATCTTACTCGTTGTGGTTGTATATACCCATCCCTTCCTCCCCTCCCACCTCCTGACACCGATAAATGTTACTCCTATATGTCCACTTAGGTGTTGATCTGTTAATACCAATTTGCTGGTGAGTACATGTGGTGCTTGTTTTTCCATTCTTGAGATACTTGATTTAGTAGAATGGGTTCCAGCTGTATCCAGGAGTATTACAGAATCTTTATACATGAAAGCACATAAAAATAAAGATTCTTGCTCCTCTCCCTTTACACAAAAGGTAGCCAATGATCTTGCCCCTCAGTAGGTGCTCAATAATGACTTATAAAAGGCAAGAGGAGGCCGGGTACAGTGGCTCATGCCTGTAATCCCAGCACTTTGGGAGGCCAAGGCAGGAGGATTGCTTGAGGCCAGGAGTTTGAGACCAGCCTGGGAAACATAGTGAGACCCTGTCTCCAAAGAAAGAAAGAAAAGAAAGAAAGAAAGGAAGGAAGAAGGAAGGAAGGAAGAAGAAGGAAGGAAGGAAGGAAGGAAGGAAGGAAGGAAGGAAGGAAGGAAAAATTAGCCTCAAATGGTAGCACATGCCTAGAGTCCCAGCTACTCAGGAGGCTAAGGCAGGAGGATCACTTGAGCCCAGGAGTTTGAGGTTGCAGTGAGCTATGATGATGCCACCAGGGGAAGAGAGTGAGACCCTGTCTCAAGAAAAAAATAAGGTAAGAGGAAAGGATGAAGAGGGGAGAAGCTATTCTTTCCCCTGAGGCAGGTGCAATTATCTTGAAGGCAATGCGGGCTTGGTTTATGCTACACCTCCTCCTACAGCCCCCTGTGAAAGGATTTCATCACATGAATACATTCCCAGTTGGATACCATTACTTAAAATCTTTCTGGGGCTTCCTGCACCCATATGGCACAGCCCAAGTTTCTTTCCTTGCAAACACAGACTCTGTATGCTAGCCTTTCTCATCCTTTGTCTTTTCCCTTTTTGTTTTTTGGGGGTTTTTTGTTTTGTTTCATTTTGTTTTGTTTTTTGAGGCAAAATCTCACTCTGTCCCCCTGGCTGGAGTGCAGTGGTGTCATCATAGCTCACAGCAACCTCAAACTCCTGGGCTCGAGCAATCCTCCTGCCTCCCCCGAGTAGCTGGGACTACTGGCATGCAGCACCACACCTGGCTATGTTTTTCTATTTTTAGTAGAAACTGGGTCTCACTCTTGCTCAGGCTGGTCTCAGACTCTTGAACTGAAGTAATCCTCCTGCCTCAGCCTCCCAGAGTGCTAGGATTAGAGGCATGAGCTACTGTGCCTGGCCTCCTGTTTTTGTTTTCTTGGTTTTTTGGGTTTTTTGTTTGTTTGTTTTTGAGACAGATTCTCACTCTGTTGCCCGGGCTAGAGTGCCGTGGCATCTTTCTATTTTTAGTAGACTCGGGGGTCCCACTCTTGCTCAGGCTGGTTTCGAACTCCTGACCTTGAGCAATCCACCAGCCTCGGCCTCCCAGAGTGCTAGGATGACAAGCAAGAGCCACCGTGCCTGGCCTTGTCTTTGTTTTTAAGTCTAAGAAATAATACCAAACTTTGTGCGGTGTCTGCACACTTCATACTGTTTCTTACCTCCATGCCTCTGGTCATATGTCTTCTTCAAGTGGAATATGCTGCTTTAACACATTACTTTCTCCTGATCCTCTAAAACATTTCACGCAGGCTTCAGTTCTAGGAAACCATTCCTAATCCTGCCTCACCGTAGGCTGCCTTGGGTACCTCCCCCACCCCAGGCGTGCTCTCATAATTACCTGTGCATATCTAGATCATGGCTCTTACCACACAGTTTCTATGATCTTCTGTGACTATATGAGCTTCTTAAGAACAGGAACCCAGCCATTCTCATCGTATACCCAGCACTTTGGACAACACCCAAAACATGGTAGGTAACTAATAAATAATTATTGGTTGATCTCAATAGTCTGAAGGATTGAGTAATGCTTCTTAACACCCCCTTAGCATCTCCTTACCTGTTCTGAAAATTGCCCTTTCACTGGGCAGGCTGCATCCAGTGAAGTTCACGGCCATAACCCACACTTGATAGCATCGGTCAGGTTCTAAATCTTCGAAAATGCAGTAGCTTTCCTTCACTGTCACTCTGTATTCTTCTACCAACTCTAGCATAAAACACAATCATAAACTCTAAAGTGTCTTCCAAAGTTAAGTGAAAGTAATATAGTTATTGGAAAAAGTAGTCTATGATTATTATTATTTTTTTTCCCCAATGGAAAATTCAAACTGATAACTTTACAGATATCATTGTGTAATAACTAGCTCTTTAGAATACATAAGAAAGCAATAGCATTCTGAAAGGAAATATTTAGAATGATATAGTATTACTTGTGAACATTTACCAGAAAATAATAGCATATTAGTAAGATTCTGAGCTTCATATACCACAATTAAAGTAACTTATTTCAATAACAAATATTAAAATTGCATAGAGTATATGTTAGCTTAAATCTCAGTAATAACAGTCTCAAGAAAATCTTAAGAACAAATGCCAATATTTTAGAAGTGTGTATCATAAAAAAAAAAGGACAACCCTATGTTTTAAACTCATAAAGCATCTTTACAGATTAGTAAACTATTTTGGTATTCAGTATGACTTTCCAAGTTTCAAATCCTGGTTCCTTCTAATAAATTCCAGAATTCTTTCAACTAGAGAATTCCGCAATTTATAGAAATACTTTAAAAACTTTGATAGGTCATAAGCTATTCTAAGAAGTAACTTTGTTCAATCAAGACATTTCCCTTTTAAAATTTCTTCAATCATTTTGCTTTCAATATTTTTATACTAAATATTACTCAGTACCATTGTGAACACCTGCCCCTTTGGGCCGATCTGATTATTCTTACCAAAATTTTCTCTCCTTTAAAAAGAATAGTTTTCTTTTTAAAATTAGCCTATGGTAATTTCAGTTATTCTCCTTTATTACTCTTAAATGTCACATCTTCAAAACTCCTCCAGTTAAGAACCCAGATTGTTTCTTTAAAAGATATTTAGGAGCTTTTTTGACTCAGCAGGTCTCTCTAATTGCCTCTCTCTTTTCCAATGAGCTATACTTTCTGGACAGAAAGTTCAGTTAAAAGAATGTCATAAGGACTCATATACTGAAAAAACATAGCCAGCAACTGTGACTGCAGTTTTCACTGGAATCATTCTTTTGAGGTCCTATTACCCTGATACTCCCTTTAACAACGCATATAACATGTATTACTGGGGACCCTATTACACAAAGTACAATGTCACAGGGTGGACCATCAGATTAGCTAACTGTCAACAGCACAGTCCAAGGCGTAGAACCAGTGAGACAGGACACAGAGAAGTGTCTGTGGTGGAGTGTAGGAGTGGAAGGGTAGAGATGAAACACATAAAAAAAGTACTCCAGGCAATAACTACTTGTAAAGAGGGGTCTTGGAGAGCCATTGGGTTTCATGAAACAGCTGGATAAAGATGGAGTTGAAATGTGGCATAACAAACCCAACATAGAGACAAACAAAAACTTAATACTTGGAGTCTGAAAGATCTTTGTTTGAATCTGCCCCTGTCATGCACAAGTTGTGTGGCCTTGGGCAAATTAAAACCTCTCATCGGTTTTCTCATTTGCAAAAGGGGATAGTAACATTTATTCTGTTTTGTTGTGACGAGCATATGGAAGTAGGTCTTGAATAAAATAGGAGTCTTTATAGACAAACCTAGCCAACTTTACACTATGCCTACAGTTGCTTTTTTAAACTTTTTCCTAAATTAATTATCAGATGACATTTCAAAAGCCTTACATATTAGTAACAGTAAAATATATTACCATTCATTCCTGATTATAAATTGGGTGCCTGAGTTTTGTAATAGGATGTCGATCCTGCCACCTAATCATCTGCTCTCCAAAGTATGTGGGTCTGGCTTCGGCAGGCAACGCAGAGTGGCAGCACTCCCAGCTCTGATTCATCAGGAAGTACAACAACCTCAAACTGCCTGGCATACGTCTTACTAGAAGGCCTACTGAGCACAGATTTTTACTGAGGCTCCTCTATAAGACATGCCACCCATATACCCTACTGAGCACTTTCACTTCTATCCACACATTAATTTAGGACACCAGAAGACTATGCCTTGAGAATTGTGAACACTGAATGAACCTTATAGTTTGTCAGTGGCTTTCATCAAAGGCAGCCCTCAGAAACTGCCAACCATGACATCCGACACTTCATTTGCATTCAAATCATTGTGGAGCACACTGTCCTGTATACAGCTTGTTTCTCCCCTACAAAGTGGGACACCTTACACTTTTCTTTTAGACTTCAATACTGACTAAAACTTTGCTTTCCTTGAAACTCTGGTATGTTACCTTCTTTCTGAAAATGAGAGCCACTTAATTGTTCCTGTCATCCTGAGGGCTTTGAGCTCTCAGGAGAAGCCAAAGGTGAATCTCAGTTATAATATTAATGTTGACTATTAGGATGATGTTTATGCATTTTTGTTTTCCTTGATCCTGATTTCTAAATTTTGCTTCTGTGTTATGATTTTATTATATGGTTATTGGGTTTTTGTTGTTGTTTTGTAAGCAGCTATAAATGCTTAGTGGAAAGAGTCATAATAGGTATCTGTTTAAATATTTCACATTAAGATGCCTAAATAGACACATGTATCTGTATTTGGGTTAGCATCCTACCATTTACTTCTTGGTCATCTTGTGGCTCCTCCATGCAGTAAACCTGAAATGAGTCAATGACATCTTCCTTGTTCATGCTCCAGTAAACTGCAATCGTGGTGCTAGTGGCAGAATTCGGTTCCTGAGGTTCTAATCTAGGAGGCTGTGGAACTGCAATATAAACAAGATTTATTACGACTAATGCTATTTGTATTCCCTTTTTTTGGCAAAATTTACTTATGCTTGTTAAAAACAATTCAGACAATACAGAAATACATGGAGTAAAAGTAGGAGGGCTCCCTTGTTCCCAGCTGAGCACAGTTATGCTCCTTGGATGCAATCACTGTCAGCTGAGTATGTACCCCTCTGGAATGTTCTATATGCATTTGTATACATGCACATGTAGTACACACAGAAATAAACAAAATGGATCCAAAAATCGGATCACTTGATAATACCCTTCTGCAGTCCTATATTTAGAGCAATAAACTTATTATATACAGGTTAGAGGATACATCAAATGACTCTTGGTTTTCCTTCAAAATAAAAAGTATGTTTTTGAGCATGCTTTGCTAGATAACCAAAGTTGTATTGTTCTATATCAAGATAGAGTCTACATTCACAATAGAAACAAATTAAACCTGTTTTAGACATAGTTGCTATATTTTTTCAGGGCTGAAAAATACTAACATGAATAAAATATCAAAATACTTCTTTTTTTTTCCTTTGAAGAAAGGATTTCACTCTGTTGCCTGGGCTGGAGTGCAGTGGCATCATCACAGTTCACTGCAACCTCAAACTCCTGGGCCCAAGTGATCCTCTAGCCTCAGCCTCTCAAGCAGCTGGGACTACAGGTGTGTGCTACCATACCAGACTAACTTTTTCTATGTTTTGTAGAGACATAAAGGAGACAAGACCTCAATGTGTTTTCTCAGTGTGTTCTCAAACTCCTGGCCTCAAGCAGTCCTCCTGCAGTGGCCTCTCAAAATGTACTTTCTGAAATTACTATCCCATTTTCTCTTTCCAACATGGTTATACCTACAGATATTTTTTTTTTTTTTGAGACAGAGTCTTGCTTTGTTGCCCAGGCTAGAGTGAGTGCTGTGGCATCAGCCTAGCTCACAGCAACCCCAAACTCCTGGGCTCAAGCAATCCTTCTGCCTCAGCCTCCCGAGTAGCTGGGACTACAGGCATGCGCCACCGTCCCCGGCTAATTTTTTCTATATATATATTAGTTGGTCAATTAATTTCTTTCTATTTATAGTAGAGACGGGGGTCTTGCTCTTGCTCAGGCTGACCTTTTGAACTCCTGACCTTGAGCAATCCGCCAGCCTCGGCCTCCCATATTTTTTTAAATAAAACAAATATATAAAGTACATAGCAGAAAAAGTTGCCTATTAACTGATTCAATATGTTTTAGACCTCTAGTATAACACTGTTTTTCTGAATTTAAAGGCAATAATATTCTCAAGTGTCTTCCTAGAGATTTTGAAAGTTTATAATTATGCATATTGAACATTAATGCTATATATAATACCACTAATCAAGCTCCTATGCAATTCACCTCCAAAATTTATGACACAAAGTCATTGAACATATTTTACAAATTGGAGGAAAAGGTTATTCCCATAGTTGAAAAGACATTATGCTTTTAAATTTATTTTTTTGGTGGCTATTTTTTTTCCAAGTCAACAGTTTCCTGAGAGAAAAGCTTACTGAAATAATATGGGCCAAATTTTATGAGGAAAACTTTATTAAACGTAGCCACCAAAGGAAAAGAAAATAAAGGTCAGTTCAGCAAGAAGGTGAAAAATGAGAAAAAAATAAATAGGTCTAAAGAATAGAATAAAAAGAGACATATTGAGAAGATTTCAATAGCGATAAAGAGCTGAAGAAATACACAGTGAAGAAAAATGAGAAGCAAGACGGAAGGGTCAAGTTCATGGGCTTCAGTGCAGAGGCCCTGGCCCAAGGGTAAAGGTCAGAATCCCCACTTACTAGCTGTGTTACCCTAGCCTCAGTGTCGCCATGTTTGAAATGAGAAAACAGTAACAATAGCATTACCTCCCAGGGTTGGCACAGGAAGCCAGATAATGTATATCGAGTACTTAGCAATGTGCCCAACAGGTGACCAGTGCTATCATTCAGAAAGCACAATGGCCTTGGCAGGAGCACAGAGAATGAAGGGTAGAGGCAGGAAACTCCTGGAGGTGAGGTTTGCACTAGGAACCCATCATCTGCTAAGTCACCGAGGCAGAGGCGAGACCTGTGGAGCGGACTGCGCGGTAAGGCAGAAGCCTGCCTGTCAGAGCACCTCCCTGGACTGATCATGGTTCGGAGACCCTGGTTCTGCCTTTGATTTTACTGTTTGTCTTCTGCAGGAAATCGGTGTCACATTCTAAAGGAGTCCATCCAGATAAATGTGGGTCAGTAAATTTTCATGTTACCCAGGTTTGTTGAAGAGCCAAGCAGAATGTTTCAACCCTTGTCGATCATTTTTGAAGAGTGTTGGAGAACTCCTTGAGGCATGAACAATGAAAACGCTCCCGCCCCTTTTTTCTATGAATTATGCATTGAGCTATATCTGCCTTTCAAAAATGGTAACATCTTTCACATTTCTCTTCCTCTCCTGAGTAAATGAACTTAAAAACTTGAAAACTGATAGTTGACCCAAAAAGTCACCTAATGTTAAGGATGAAGTAGTTGTAGAGAATTAAGTAAAGCATGTAGGTCAGAAATAATTTTGTTCCTAATGTGCTCCTGCCCCCTAAAACATTAAAGTTAAAACATCTTTTTTCAAAAACAGGAAATATTTTGACTTTTCAAAGAATTCTAAAATGAAAAAAGGAATAAGAATATTCCATCAATGTAATCTACTAATAATATGGCTGGATTTATGATCCCTTTATAGCAAAAGAATATCAAACACCAAGATTTTATACGTTAGCAATTCTGTTCACACTTCTATAGTTGAGTAAGTGTGATGCCAAAAAATACAAAATGGAAGTTTAGAGTTTCATCACCAGAGGCTAAGGAATTGGGCAGAAGAATCACCCCACGGATTCTCTCTGCCTGATGAAGTGTACCCAGAAAGAGCGGTCACACTTGGGGAATTAAGCACTAATCAACTTGGACTTCAGAATCTGTGGCCAAATATACATTTCCACACAAGCTGGCTTTCAAAAAGAGCAGCATTATTCACAATAGCCAAAAGGTGGAAACAACCCAGGTGTCCATTGATGGATGAATAGATAAACAAACGTGGTATATGCATACAGTGAAATATTATTCAGCCTTAAAAAGGAAGAAAATTCTGACACATGCTACCTACCATATGGATGAACCTTGAGGATATTATGCTAAATGAAATAAGTCAGTCACAAAAAGATAAATACTGCATGATTCCACTTATATGAGGGGCCTAGAATAGTCAAATTTATAGAAACAGAAAGTAGAATGGTGGCTGGGGGAAGGTGGGGAAGTTAGTGTTTAGTGGATGTAGAGTTTCAGTTTTGCAAGAGAATGGGTTCTGCAGAGGGATGGTGGTGATAGTTGTACAGCAACGTGAATGTGCTTAATGTCCTTGGACTATTCACTTAAAAATGGGCAAGATGGTGAATTTTAAGTTATGTGTATTTAACCAAAATTTTTTTTTAAATCCCGAGGAGTCAGGGTCAAGGAAGCTATCCCTAACCCAGGTTGATCTCATCTTTCACAACGAAGCACTCTGCTTCTCTGCAGGGCAGCAGTTCAAGTGCAAAGACGCTGAACCCAAACTTCCCCTCCCATCCCACTACCCACCCAACCAGCTATGTGGTCTTGAGCAACATGACATCTTTCTGTTCCTCTCTTTCCTCACCTATTAAATGGGAATAACAAAAAACCTGCCATTGTGAGATTAGATCATTTAATATGCTTAACAGTCCCCAAGTGTCAGGCATCCTCTAAGTATGGAATAAATGGTAGGGGCTGATATTTTTCTTTGGAAAACTCATATCTGCTTAGTTTAAGTAGGGGGTCATTAGATGAACCTTTCAGGTACCAGGTGAGAATGTCATACCTGAGAGGTGTCATTGGTCACGAAATGAACAAAAACTATTGAGCAGCAAGTCAACACCTTGGCCTCAGTTCTGTGAAGCAGACACACCAAGCAGCATTTATCACTCAGAAATCAGTCTCCATCAGAGGGGCTTCGAACCGCTGGGACTGCCATATCACTTTCTGAGTTAATCATTCACACTTTGTGATAATTTAACTCTGTGACCTCTAAAATATATAAAATGTTCTCTTGTTGCCCATCAGGTATTCAAAAGGATATCTTTCTAAACAAACAACAGCATATAATGAATCTCTAAAAAGCAAATGACCAGGTCTGTCAATCAGACTTCCTTAGTGTATAATCACTGCTCTGGTCTAATGCCTCTTAAAGACATTACAAGAAAGCATCCTTTTGGTTTCAGACATTTCTAGAGAAAATAGGATAAATGACTGAAATTTTCACTTTAAAGAGGTTTGGGGGGGTTGTGTGTTGTTTTGTCTTAGTTTTTTGTCTTTTTAGAGAGAGTAACCTTTTACTAGTTACTGAACTAGAACTCTTCCTGCAAGAATGAAAGTTAATTGTCAATTTAAACACAACAGCCATCTTTTTGTGTTTTTGATTTTGGGGTTGGTTTGTTTGTTTAGAGACAGGGTCTCACTTATGTGGCCCAGGCTGGATTTGAACTCCTGGGCTTAAGTGTTCCACCTCAGCCTGCCAAGTAGCTACCAACCTTGCAGGTGGTTTTGGAAGAATATATAGCATCTTTTGAGGAGGACATCTGAGCACATTGTACAGTAAGTAAAACTCGATCACTTCACTGAAACACAGCAGCTTTGAGGAATCTAAATCAGTTTCATTGTCCTGTTTGTTAAAATAGCACATTAAAAAATATTGTGAAGAGCCGGCAGGATGCTCTGACAGCTAAGTGGGAGGCTCCTGGCGACAGACCATGATGCTGAGCTGTTAGTTCTCCAAGCTCATCTGTTTAGTTAAAAAAAAAAGGGGGTGGGGGAAAGAACTGAAGAGGGGAAAACCACTCGTAAGAAGGAAAAATCTGTTCAACACATATGAAAATATTTGACTTCTTCTTTTTTTTTTTTTTTCCATACCTGGCTGCTGGTATGAAGTAAACAACTCTCGAAGAGAGGGAGAGAAATTCTATTTTAAAAGAGAAAAAAAGAAGAGGAGACCCTTTGGTTCCTTGGCTGCTTCTTCCCACCTCCTCAGTCTCCCAGCACAGTCAGAAAGCCTCAGATAGAAATGCAGTCAGTCGCTGAAACGGGATGCTAGCCTCATGCTTTATTTCAGAGTCTAGCTTTAAAATTTTACAACCAACACTTAGCTTTTTCCAGTTCTATGTCTTTACATTATAAATCTTTACAAAACAAACAAGCAAAAACTGCCATGTTTCATCAAGGTAATTAATATGTTAAAATGCTTACCAGCCACTTGTTTCAACATCTGGTCACTTCTTGCAGAGCTGTCATCGTAATGTTCAAAAAGGGAAAATGCAGCAGGCATGTTCTCTAAAGAAGCAGTGCTCTCCATTGCAGAAAGCAACCTAACAGGAGGACAGATCTCTACATAAGTCAAGAAATTATTAACATACAGAATGAAAGTGAAAAACAGTTGTTCAAAAATGAAGCTGGTGTTGGTAGTGGTGGTTTTTATAAGGCAACGCCTCTTATTATATCCAAAAATGATGTAAACAGTTTTAAAATCTGAAAACATGTGTTTAAGATCTCTTTATTACTAGGGTTCTTAGGCAACTGGTAATATTAGAAAGTTCATTCCTATATCTTCTAATTAGAAAAGATACTATCCAATTATATGATCTCAAATTTTTTATCTGTAAAGTTAGCCCTAAAAATTACCTCATTTGAATGATTATTTTCTTTATTTCCTAAAGGATATAAATGCTCAGAGTCCATCTAGAAACTTACACACTGTAGGATGTCCTTTTCGTTCTCAAACCTCAATATTAAGCTTCCAGTCATTTGTCATTCAAAAAATACTGTTTGGCCGGGCGCGGCGGCTCACGCCTGTAATCCTAGCACTCTGGAAGGCCAAGGCGGGCGGATTGCTCGAGGTCAGGAGTTTGAAACCAGTCTGAGCAAGAGCGAGATCCCATCTCTACTATAAATAGAAAGAAATTAATTGTCCAACTAATATATATATAGGAAAAATTAGCCGGGCATGGTGGCGCATGCCTGTAGTCCCAGCTACTTGGGAGGCTGAGGCAGTAGGATTGCTTGAGCCCAGGAGATTGAGGTTGCTGTGAGCTAGGCTGATACCACAGCACCCACTCTAGCCTGGGCAACAAAGTGAGACTCTGTCTCAAAAAAAAAAAATACTGTTTGCCTACTATGTGCCAGGCACTGTACTAGCTACTGAAGATAGAACAGTGCAAGAAGGTAAAGCCTGCCATTCTTAAAAGACTAACCAAGCTACAGCTTGTAAACTAATAGCTTTTATAGACTCAAGACCCTCTTCGGTGGACTGCCAGCTGCTGCTAAGTCTTAGCATTTGTATCCAGGTGAAATCTGGATTTAAACAAACAAAACCAGGTTAACTCTGAAGGGGTAAGAGGGAGGTAAGAGTTTGCAAAAGAATTTATCTTTAGCATGAGAGGCCTCAGAGTGAATCGGGGGTGTTTCTCCGTGCCCTCCCTCACATGGGGCTGGCATTCTCTTTCAGCAGAGAAGTTAACTGCCAGGAACGGCGTAGGCTTCATTACCATGGGTGGACTTTTGGTTTTCCCAGAACAGACCATCTTGCTTGCTGTTGGAACTTTGTTTTCCCAGATACTTGCATAGCTCCTTCCTTTGCTTAACTTGGATATCTGTTGAAGTGTCACCTCCTCAGAGAGGATGCTACTAAGGCAGCACGCCTGCCCCCTGGCCCTTCCTCAAACTTACCACAGCCTGTTTGGTTTTTTTCCATCTACTTCACCAGAATACAACTTACACTCAAGAAAGGATGTTGTTTTCGTTCGCTACTGTATTGTAATGCATCCCTTGGCACATGGTGGGTATTTAATAAATATATTTTGAATGAATGAGAGGCCAATAGTTTTATTTTGGTGAGCGTATCAGGATCTCAGTGATATGGATTTTTGGAAAGTATGAAGGAAAATATTTTAAAATATAACTGAAATATTTAAAGAGTGCCTTGTATGTTTCCAGCTGTTGGAAACAATAAAATTCACTATAATTTGATTTAGGGGAGATGGGTCCAGTAGGGGTTTCAAAGAGGAGGCGTCATTTGGGCTGGGTCCTAAAGAAGGAATAGGAGTGTCCTAGGTAGGAAAGGGAGCAGGTAAGGGTGCTGCAGGTAGATCAGTGTGAGCAAAGGCATGGAGATGTGAATGAGTATGGCACACTCGAGGGCCAGCGCGTACCAGGGGAGGGTTGGGAAATAGAGGCTGATAGGGATGAAATAGAAAAGTGGTTTGTGGCTTCCCTGGGAAGAGCCTTTCACACCCACTGGGAGTTTCAAGTTTATCTTTTAAGGCAGGGAGAGCCAAAGAATTATTATACAAGGGAAATTCAGAAGCATACCCTGGCAAGTGTCTGAGGAAGGATCAGAGCAAGCAGGTCAGAGAGGCCATGAGGTTCGTGGAGGACCCCACAATAGTCTAGGCGAGGGAAGGCAACATGAGCCAAAATTAAGGCTTTGGGGATACAAAGAATGGAAATGACAGGCTCAGAATTAACAGAAAATGGTGACCCGTACACACACTAGGCTCTTTCAATATATATCACTGACTAAAGTTAGGGCTTTGTGTAGCACAAAAGCTCTGGTTGTAGATACCACCAGCAAAATGTTTGCATTTCCCTTTATGCACTGACCTATTCAATGTTAACATCAGCACATGACATCTTTTTATAAGCAGGTCCTACAATGGCTGTGACTCTTTTTTTCATGATAATAACACAAAAGTGCAAAATGGAGAAAAAAATGAATCCCCTTAACAGAGCAGCATTTTCTAAGCAAATGTGTTTTTCAAGATATGCAAATGTTGAGTCTATATATGCTTGACAGCATTCCTTAATTTAAGCATTTTTAGTGTTGCGAAAAAATCATTTAATATACAGGCCCTGCCTTTGGAGATAGAATATAAAGGGAGAGAGAAAAAGTAACAAGGTAAAACAAACTACAGTTGACCCTTGAACAACTTGGGGGTTAGAGGAACCAATCTCTCACACAGTCAAAAATCCATGTATAACTTTTGACTCCCCAAAACTTAAATACTAATAGACAATTGTTGACAAGAAGCCTTACTGATAACGTAAACAGTTGGCTAACACATATTTTGTATGTTATATGTATTAATATTATATACTGTATTCTTAAAATAAGCTAGAGAAAAGAAAATGTTATTAAGAAAATCATAAGGAAAATACATTTACAGTACTGTGCAATGTTTATCGATACCGTTAGTTTATATCATCTATTTACAAGATGAATTGCCTGCTTCTTGGCAGAACTTCCAGCGTCACTAGTGGCACTTTGTATGGTTCCCATGGTGTTATTCAAGGTCTACGACACTGCACTAAACACGATGAAAAATATTCGAGAACCATGAGAGATCACTTTTTACTTCGATATGCAATTTACTGGAGAGATGAACCACTCACTCAGAGATGATTAATGTCACAAAGAGTGTTAAGCGAGAGTCACAACACTTGAACTCAACTCAATAGCAACAGCAGGTGACTAGGAAATTATTGCAATAGTTAATTTTATGCAGGTACAATTTAATACTGCATCTTTATGTTTGCTTACACTTCTCTTGACTGTGAATGGTGCCACAGAAGGGTCATGTTTGTGTGCATAAATTTTGACAAATTTTAACTTTTTATAATAGATTTGTGCATATTCTATGGTAGTAAGTGATAAAATAGACTAGTATCTACATATATTTTATGCATTCATAACATACCTAACTTTTTCTTAATTTTTTGCAATATTTCTAGGCTACACGGTTCATCTTCAAGTTTTTTCAAATTGTCACAAATCTCCAAAAAATTTTCCAATATATTTATTGAAAAAATATTCATGTGGATCCGCACATTTCAAATTCATGTTGTCCAAGGGTCAACTGCGATGATTAGTACTTCTTATAGAAAGAAACACTCATAATATTGAAACTTCGGGGCAGAAGTTTTCTTGAGAACATGGAAGGCATTATGGTGAAACAATCATGTTTCATCACATATGTTTGGACATGCACATGTTTAACAGGGCTTTCTTTAATTGCTCCTATTTCTTCACCAAATCCCAGAACTTTGTTGACTTTTTTCTTTACAGAAAAATAATGGCTACCCCAAGTGTACTCTCCTTCAGGTGACATGCAGCTTTAGCAAAGATTAATTCATTGTCAATTGGACAATGAAATAGAAATTAATTAAAATGACACACAGATGAACAACTTTAATCACAAAACCAAAGAAATGGTATTTAGTATTAAATGGATGTCAATTTATATTAGCAATATTCTAATGGTTAGAAAAGTAAAAAAAAACATTCTATTGCATTTTTTAAGGGAAATGCATACACAAATTTTCATTCACCAACTTTTGTTACCAATCAGTATCTTCCATGAATGGATAAAATATAAATAAGGAAATATACATCTACACTGCCCAGTGTGTATAGAATGGCACTATAAAGCCATATAATTTTAGATAAAAATAAATATCAATAATATTTAGGAAAAAATATATAATTTTTTTTTAAATAAAGGAAACTGGGAATAAGGCCTGGGTCTCGGCTTCCAGACCTAACTGGTGTGTCTTAGACTCAGTATGTGGCAATCGGTAATACATGCTTAGCCCTATCCCAGAAATTCTGATGTAGTGGATCTGGGCTGGGGCCCCAGGAACTCTGGTTAAACAAGTTACACAGGTGACTTAGGCACAGCCAGTTTGGAGAACCACTGGGACAGAGGACAGATGAACCAGAATTTTCAACTCTGGTTGTGCATTAGAATCACCTATGTCTAAGAAGCTTTAAAAATGCCCATCTACACCCCAGATCAATTCAATCAGAATCTCAAGAGATACGATTCAGGCACAAGCATTTTTTTAAAGCTCCCTGGGGGAATTCTATTTATAACAGTGTCAGTGATTAATGCTAATATTAATACACAAATTAGTTTCATAAAATTTATTGGTAATATTCTGCTGAATAGGAATTTTTTTATAGGTAGATAGGATTCCTCTGTGTGGTTTCAACTATCTAAAAAAAATGTTTCTAATCCAAATCCATTTTTCCATATTTTAATACATCACAGATATAAATTTCTGATTTTACTCTATGCTATATCATAATTTGAATTGGCATGGAAGTAAACTGAAGATAATATTTATAATTTAGAAATTTACATTTAAAATTACATTAAAATGACAAAATATTAAGCTCAGCCAGTAGGAAAGATCCCACATCTTGCTATGGAGCAAAAGGGAAAAGTTGTCAGTTCTGTATGAGAATTTCAACATGAGATGCTGCAAAAGATAAACATAAATCTGATGCTATATGTTTTTATATACAACATTTCCTAATTTCTTGTTGAGCGTTTTGCCATTTGAAAGAATGAAGAGTTCTCTTAGACTGAGTGTTAAAAACAACCACAAAACAAATCAAAAGTGGAAGATTCATTTAGGTTAGCTGAGCAGAAAGAGAAAAGAAATGCATGGCTATTTTTTCAGGAGAAAATGAGAGAACATCCTCTGGGCACAGCGGCTCACACCTGTAATCCTAACATTCTGAGAGGCCGAAGTGGGAGGATTGCTTGAGCTCAGGAGTTTGAGACTAGCCTGAACGAAAGTGAGACCCCATCTCTATCAAAAAGAAAGTTTAAAAAACAAGGCTGGGTGTTGCAACCCTGACCTGTAGTCCCAGCTACCAGGGAGGCTAAGGCAGGAGGATCACTCAGAGCCTAGGAGTTGGAGGTTGCAGTGAGCTACAATGGCACCACTGCACTCAACTCAGGGCAGCAGAGTGAGACTCTGTCTCAACAAAAACAAAACAAAGAAACTGAGCACCCCTCCTATTTAAAAAATAAATTTTTAAATAGGAAAAAAAATAAATTTAAATAAAATAAATAAAAAATAAATTTAAAAAATGAGAGAACATCCTATTAAGATTACATAAGTCATAAAACTACTCAAGGCAGATATGAATGATTTAACCAATAAGTCAAAGTATCTTATGAAATGTTCTATATGCAGCAGCAGGAAAAATGATCTAGATTAAGCTGAAAATACAGAATACATCTCAAGGCAGCAGTTAAAAATCTGCATTGTGATAATTGTTATTTAACTAAAGCACATGCAATTTTCTTTCAAAGCTGTCATTTAGCTGTTAAAAGCACTGTGTCTGAAAGTGAAAATACAGTAGCTCACTAAATGTATTTTTTAATTGGCAGCTCATTTTCTATAAAGCATCAAAATATTAAAAAATAAACCATCCAGTCATGCCATTCTCAGCCATTACTACATTGTGCCACGTTGTATATACCTTTCATTGATTTCCTCAAACGACTTATGGGAGGAAGGAGGAGCAAGAGGTAGAGAGGTGGGGTGGGGGGGAGAGAGAGAGAGGAGAGAGACTAATTAACAACAAACAGAAAAACCAACCAAGAGCATTAAGATTACCGATGTTTGAAAATCATTATCCCTCAGCTTCCTGAGGCTGTTTCTCTTTGGTGGTTCCCCACCCCCTAGTAAGAAAATTAGGCTCAAATGGGGGGGGGGGCGGGTCTGGACAGGGATGGAGGGGGCTTTATTCTGCAGCTGGGCTCTGCTCTCTATGATCAATGAGGCTGGCAATGTGCTGCTCATGCTCTACTCTCTATTCATTAGCAACAGCTTAGCTTCCAGAATAGAATTCTCCGAAGCAAGGAAAATGACTTAAATTTGTTCAATGTCCAGCATATATAAAAAATGTAATCAGCAATTATCTGAGTGATATTTTCTCTATGCTTATCTGTTTTTCCCAATTTTTCTAAAATGAACATATATTACTATTATAAGCAGAAAAAAGAAAAGCCTTTTTTAAATAATTTGTTCTTCTAGAGAAAAGAAAATTTATCCTTATTCTTATCAAAGGTAAGTTTCTCTGGGAACGTAAAGCACTTTTTAAATGTTATACTTCACAAGAGGTGTCTAATTTAAAAAATATTAAAAGGTTTGCTTTAGTTATACATAAAGCAAGCTAATGAGTTTAGTTCTCCTTTGAGGATGGCCATATCCACTTTGCTCAGATTTGCCCTGGCCGGAGGTTTCCCCAGTGGTAAACCAAAGAAAGGCTAGCACTGCCCCCTTTTGCCTTGCTCTATCACCAAAGTTTACTTGAGGGTTAGGAGGATGGGGAACTTTGAAAGGGAGGTCCCCAGTCGTCACAACATGAAGCTTTCTCCATGTGACAATCAGGTTTGGGACTGCCCTCAGGAAAACATCTCTGTCACTCCTGTTGAATCCCGCCTCCGCGGAGAGCCAGCATCTTCCTGAAGGTTCTAGGACAGGGGTCTTCAAACTTTTTAAACAGGGGGCCTGTTCACTGTCCCTCAGACCGTTGGAGGGCCAGACTATAGTTTAAAAAAAAAAAACTATGAACAAATTCCTATGCACATTGCATATATCTTATTTTGAAGTAAAAAAACAAACAGGCAAAAAGAACCACATGTGGCCCACAGGCCATAGTTTGAGGACACCTGTTCTAGGGAATTATGGGGAGCACAGAGTTGCCTCTGTGGTGCAATGTGAGGAGCATCCAAGGGCATCCCCCTGTCCACAAGTTACTTGCTTGACTTAAGGAAGCCTGTTCCCAGGAAGCCCCTTGCAAAAACATCGACATCTTTATGACCTGAGAGAGGTAACAGACCAAAATGTTACTCTCAGCTACTTGTCGACACGCAGAGGGAATGGTCCATCTGTGAGGTCACTTCAGGGGGTGGAGAGGACAGGCCCAGGGGCCAGCTCGTGGACACCAGGCACCAGAAGATAGGGCTGGCCCCCAGAGGGAAAGTGGGGCCAGAGTAAGGTTTTAAGGCTGCTTTCTCTCCCTCTCAGAAGGTGACCAATCTTGTGTGACAGATGGAATGATGACACTGTGGCCTCACTCCAGGCATCCTTCAGCTAGATCTGAGCATTAGGCTTTCAGGATTTGCTGAGTCTTTTCTACAGGCATAAGGCATGCCCAGATAATTTTTAAATGCCAGAATGATATAAAGCCCCCACAGAAATAGAAATAATCTTAAGGAATATTGAAAGATGAGGTTTTAAATGTAGACGTGCCAGAGTGGGTACAAGGCGTTTGGGCCCATTTCACTTGGCACTTACCGTCAGGAAGACGGCCTCGTCGAGCTCCTCTGCCTCCCGCACGATGGTCTCCAGGGTGTCCTTGGCAGTGTCCATGCTCTGCAGAAAGTGGACCATCTGCTCATGCAGGAACTCCATCTTCTTCTTCTTCACTTCCTCAAAACTCTGGGCTTTCTCATCATACTGTGCCAAAACCTTCTTCATCATTTCCTCATTCTGTTCTTCTAGCCTTTTCTCATTTTTGCTACAGTTTTCCTAAAAACAAACAAACACACACACACACACACACACACACACACACACACACACACAAAAACCCAGCTTCTGAATGAAACAAGAAGAACATGTTTTTCTTTCTTTCTTTCTTGCTTGCTTGCTTGCAAAACACCAACCTTTTAAAGAATTGACCTCTGGCATTCTGATCTGAGAATCAGACATCACATTCACAGTCTAAACTTCCAACCTACCAACTCGCTTTGCTAAAATTAGCTTTGTAATAAAATTTACTGTAAGTGTATCACCAAGAAGGTTTTAGCTACTGAAATACAAAAAACAAACAAAAAAGAGATATATGTATTAAAGTCTTGCCCATCTGCATCCCCACATGATGAAACTTGAAAATGGCATCACAGTGAGGACCACTGGCCTCCAGGTAGTGGAGAAGGGTCAGCATCATTTCACCACCCCACTGAAATCCCAGAGTGAGGGACGGAGCCGCCAGGACACTGAAAAGGGAGCTACATTCCCAAACATTCTCCAGTGAGGAGAGCTACATTCCCAAACATTCTACAGCTTCTACTACAGTGGGAGAAACTTTACTATCCACCTGGACACACCTAGATGCCTTGCTGACCTCACCAGTGCTAGGGATAAGGTGATCACACAATTTACTGTCTAAAAGGGACACTTGGGGGAGGTGACACCATAAATAATTAGCAGGTGTTAACTGATCTATAACAGGACGTAAGCAGAACTCTCACAAGCAAACTACGATATAGAACAGTAGGGAAACTGAGCAGCATCCTTCTGCAGCGGCCTTGGGCCCTCTGCCACTTGTGATTGACAGGTGAGGGTGCCTGGCCATCTCTGTATCTCAAGGATGGAGCATCACTCTCCCCGCCCTTCACTGTGGATGGGGCAGGGGGCAGCAGTTAGGGGAGCATGAACTCATCAAGGACAGCTGTATTATACCACGAGAGGCACTCATTGGCCCTGGGCCTGGGACACTGGGCAGTGACATAGAGTTTTTCTACAGAGCTAACCCAGTGAGAGGCAGGAAAGCAGAGCAATGTACTTTAAGACTCAGTTTCTTATCTATAAAATGGGAACAATAATAATTGTAAATATTTCCTATTGTTGTGAGGATTAAATTAGGTAAAGCACATAAAGCACCTGCCCTATTATAGTACGTGCCCAATAAATGCATGCCCATTTTTAAGGGTAATTCTTTTATCCTTAGGCAGAAAGTAGTCTCACTACACACAGAGGGGAGACTTTAAGTTTATTTGCTTTGAATGAAACAAAACCAATAATGACCAACAATGCACACACACAAAAAAACCCAAATCAGATCATTTTAGCTCAGAATCATTTACTTATGATACTGTGAACAAACCAGGTTAAAGTAAAATGGATATGTTAACTTACCTCAACGGTATTAAAAAAGGATTCTATCTCACTAACAAAGGCTTCAATCCTCAAGGACTTCTCTTGTAAATTTTCTAGAAATTCTGCTAATTGAACCTGAAGAAAAGAATTAAGATATCCTTAGTACATGACATATGGGAAAAGAATTTCAACCAGTGAGTTCCAATTTCCTTATAAATTTAGTATGTTTGATAGAGATGTACTATATTATATCCACTAACAAATCAATCTTTCAATTTTCCTTGCTGCTTCATCTAAATTGACTGTAGATAATTCAGTATGATAAACAATTAGGAGGCTTTGAATGAGAACCCCAAGGCAACAATAAAAAAAGATAGTTTATCTTCTCATGCAAAAGAAAGGATTTCTTGGTAAATTGATGAGCTCAAAGCATACTTGTTTTAATGAACTATGGATTGGAATGCTTTCTCCTTAGTTAGGCCTCGATTTTTATACTTTCTGAGAGAATAGCCTTTTTGCAAAATTGGCCCAATGTATCTGAGTAGTTTCTTCACATTTGTGCCAACGGCCTCAGGTGTGCCAGGGAGACCTGACTGTGGGAAGGTGATCAGAGTGCCACCAGGCAAGAAGTCTAACATACCAAATGATAGCAACCATCTACTAAAGGGATCTGAAAGTTATAATCGCTCTAAAAGGGTTAAAATACTCAAGGGGTGACAGTGAAATAGAAACTTTATGGGGTGATGGGGGAGGATAGTATCTACTTTAATCATAGCTATAAACCTGGCAGCAGTCAATCCTGCTAAAGTTAAAAAATAACAAAACAGAATAAGAGAGCTTCGGCTGCCTAATTGACTATATACAGAATAATGAAGATATTACACTGACGGAAGCCTGCATAGGATCTGGCCTCTACTTCTCTCTATGCCCTGACCTCTTCCCCAAAGCCCTCAGGCTCCAATTATACAAGCTGCATCTTTTCCTTGGACTCTTTCTCACCTGTGTGCCTTTTCATATGGTATGCCCTGTCTCTAGAATGTTGTCCCTGCCCTAAACTGCTAGAAGAACTCTATCTCATTTAAGGCTCACCCTAGTTTCATCTTTTAGAGACACTTTCCCTAACACTCCCCTTCCCACCCCACCATTTCACTCCCCAAAGGTGAATTTCTCAGAGCATTTTGCTCCCACATCCTTGTACTAATATGGGGGATCTACAAGTCCATGTTCCTTTCTTTTTCCCCTATTCCTAATGATTAACACAGTTCCTGACACAGGAGATCAATAAACATTGAGAACGAAGGAAAGGAGTGAGTGAATGAAGAAAATAGCAGACAAAAGATAAGAACGCAATGGGGTTAGACTGGGGAGGAGACACAGGACTTGGATAGTCTATAATTGCAGCCATCAGCTCCTGAACAGACACAAATGCCTCCCCAGAAGATGTTAGAGAATTCTCAATTTACAACTTTTTTCAATTGATTTTTATTTTAAGAGTTGCCAACCAACTCTTAATCTTCACAGCTGACTTAATGAAATGAAGCAAAATCCCTTCACTTTAGTCAACTGAGTTTCCACTTTCTCCTTCTCATACTGTTTAGAGAAAATCAAGAATAAAAAACTTTAAAATGATTTTAAGGCCACTGCAGTGGCTCACTTCTGTAATCATAGCAACTGGGGAATCTGAGGTGGGAGGATCCCTTGAGGCCAGGAGTTTGAGACCAGCCTAGGCAACACAGCAAAATCCTGTCTCTAAAAACATGAAAAAAAAGTTATCCAGGTGTGGTAGTGTGCACCTGTAGTCTCAGCTACTTGGAAGGCTGAGGTAGGAGGATCACTTAAGCCCAGGAGTTTGAGGCCACAGTGAGCTAAGATCACATCACTGTACTCTGGCTCAGGTGACAGACTGATTTTAAGGTAGGAGACATCTTATCTCCCTACTTATGAAATTTGTTTTAAACTGACAATATTTAGGCAATTATTTTTTAATTTCTAAAACTCATGGAGGTAAAACATAATTAAGAAGGCCAAAAAATTCAGTGTTCTTTCTGCTGACAGTAGTTGTTAGTTAACAAAACCAAGTATCACCACAGAATGGGGCACACTTCCACTGGAGCTAATGCATCTGATGTCTGAGATTTCACAAAAGAAGCTGCCCCACTCTCTAGACTCAAACTTTAACAAGTTTCCATAAAATTTCACCCCAGAGAAACAGAACCAATATCAGATAAATTGAGAAGGATTGATTTGGCAGGGTAAAAATGCCAAGATTCTAATATGTTATCCTCTTGAATCAAAATGAGTCTGACAATTATTTAACAGTGACCTAATTGAATTATCATATTGAAAATCACTACCATTAGCAAGGCACTGAGCCAAACAATATGGAAACACAATCAAGAGCATGAGCTCTGGCAGCAGACAGACCTAGGTACCAATTCCAGTTCAGCCTTCTAGCACTTAAACTCACTTAAACACTCTGAGCTGATTTCATTATCTGCAAATTGATGACAATGTCAGGGTTGTTTTAAAAAGCATTTAATATAAGATATTCTGTATATAAAGAACTTAACATGGTGACTGGCACAAAGTAAGTGCTCAATTCTTGTTATTTGCTAATTTTAAGATAATTCCAGAAGGGAGGCAAGATGGCTGATTAGAGACATTGGTCGCCAGATCATCTCAGAAAGAAGGAAAAGTTTTAGGTGAAAAAAAAAACCTAGTCTAGGTGTAATGCTGAGGGAAAAGTGCCAGAAGCTACTGGAGATTCCATGGGTAGAAGTTGTGGAACAGAACAAGAAGGAGCAAGATTTTGACAGATATCAACCCCTGAGGAATTTGGAGCCCCATGAAAAGGGAAGACGGGGGTGTTTGTTTTTCTTCCCCTCACACCTCTGGCAGACTGCAGACAATCTCATTATCATGCTTGCCTTAAAAAAAAATAAATAAACTGGGTATCCCAATATAATTCATTCTGTTAAGAATACCACAAGGCTGAGGAAAGAGAGCGGATTTCAAAGACCTCCATCTCCCCTTGTCAACAAGAGACAGGGAATCTGCCCATGCACATGGTACACCATTCACTACAGCCTACACATAACTAGCACTTGAGAAAACCACCACATTAAGGATATCTGTAACTAAGGTATCCATCCAGAACCTTGACCCCATCAAAGTACCTGCAAGCAAAGCCAAAGGGCCTTACCCAACATATGCTACAGATATACCCTTAAGAGTCAGGGGGCAAAAAAGTCCCATCTAAACAAAAGAAAATTCAAAAACAAGATGAAACAGCTCTAGATGAAAGGAATCAGTTCAAGAACTCCAGGAGTATGGAAAATCAGAGCGAAAGGACCCCCTGCCCCAAAGGAGCATACCATCTCTCTAGCAATGGATCCCAACCAAAATGAAAATATTCAAACGACAGATAAAGGATTCTAAATGTGGATTGTAAGGAAGTTCAATGAGCTCCAAGAGAAAATGTAAAACCAACTGAAAGAAACCAGAAAAATAATTCAGGAAATTAATAAAAAATTTACTGAAGAACACTAATGAAAGAAACCACAGATGACACAACAAATTGAAAAGCATCCCCTGCTCATGGATTGGTAGAATCAATATCATTAAAATATCCATACTACCCAAAGTGATTTACAGATTCAACACAATCTCTGTCAAATTACCAGTGTCATACTTCTCAGATCTAGAAAAATAATCATCAGCTTCATTTGGAACCAAAAAGAGCCCAAATAGCCAAAGGAATCTTAAGTAAAAGAACAAATCTGGAGGCATCACATTACCTGATATCAAATTATACTATAAGGCTATAGTAACCAAAACAGCATAACACTGGTACAAAAATAGAGATATAGACAAATGGAACAGAACAGAGAGCCCAGATAGAAAACTATCTATCTACAATCAACTGATCTTCAACAGAGCAGACAATAACATACAGTGGGGAAAGGAAGCCCTATTCAATAAATGGTGCTGGGAAAATTGGATAGCCACATGGAGAAGAATGAAACAGGATCACTATCCCCCACCATATACAAAAACTAATCTGAGATGGATTAAAGACTTAAATGTAAGGTATGAAACCATAAAAATTCTAGAAGAAAAATGTAGGAAAAAACTCTTTTATACATTTATGACTAAGATCCCAAAGACAAATATAGCAACAACAAAAATAAACAAATGAGATTTAATCAAATGAAAAGTTTCTGCACAGCAAAGGAAATAATCAACAGAGTGAAAAGACAACCTACAGAATAGTAGAAAATATTCACAAACTATACACAGACAAAGGACTGATATCTAGGATCTACAAAGAACTCAAACAAATCAGCAGGGAAAAAAACAAATAACCTCATCAGAAAAGTTATTTCAAGGTCATAGGCAAAAGACATGAATGGAAGTTTTTTGAAAGAAGGTAGACAAATAGCCAATAACCATATGAAAAAATGCTCAACATCACTAATTATCAGAAAAATGCAAATTAAAACTATAATGAGATACCACCTTACACCCGTCAGAATTGCCATTATTAAAAAGTCAAAAAAACAATAGATGCTAGTATGGATGCAGAGAGATAGGAATGCTTATACATTGTTGGTGGTGTACTGCAAATTAGTACAACCTCTATGCAAAACAGTTAAAGAGATTTCTCAAAGAAATAATGGTAGACCTATCATTTGATCCAGCAATCCTACTGCTGGGTACCTACCCAAAGAAGTCATTTTATCAAAAAGACACCTGCACTCGAATGTTTGTCACCACACAATTCACAATTGCAAAGATGTGGAATCAACCCAAGTGTCCTCCAATTCATGAGTGGATAAAGAAAATGTGATTATATACACACACACACACACACACACGTAAACACATCATGGAGTACTACTTAGCCACAAAAAGCAATGAAATAAAGTCATTTGCAGCAACATGGGAGGAACTGGAGACTATTATCCTAAGTGAAGTATCTTAGAAATAGAAATGGAAAAAGAAACACCACATTTTCTCACTAATAAGTGGGAGCTAAACGATGATTACACATACTCATAAAGTGGTATAAAGGACACTGGAAACTAAGAAGGGGAGAGGGACAGAGTGGGGTGAGGAATAAAAGCTTACTTATCAGGTACAGTGCACACTATTCTGGTGACAGGCACACTGAAAGAACTGATTCCAGCGTTATACAATTCATTCATGCAACAAGAACACTTGGACTTTCTACTATCTGGAAATAAAAATTATTTTTAAAAAAGATAATTCCAGCTGCTCTATGGAGAATGAATAGAGGAGATAAGAATGGGGAGGACAGTTAGAAGGCTATTGAAAGGTAGAGGTGAATCTCAAAGTCCAAATGCTGATTTCCAATAGTACCTCTGGGGAAGTAGAGTACTCATAATTGCTTATGTTTAAGTATAATGTTGTGACTAACTTTTTATCTGGAACATTGGAGTCCTATAGACATAGTCAGAAAGTATGCAAAGATTTCCTATTTCTAACATAAATTTTATAAATAAAAAGGAAATATACAGAAAATCAGAATATAAAATGTCTTAATGTCTTAAGTATTTATACATAACTTCTAATAAAATTTCTCAATGCAATGTAAATGTGTATTTTTAAAGGATGATATCGTAAATAGAAAATAAATTGTGCTTTATGCTCAAAGATATTTTTATTTATTTCAAATTATTTGGCATTTTTTTATAATGTTAAGAGCTATTGTCATAAGATGACAAGCTCGTCACAGGCAGCAACCCTGTGTTATTTATCTTGGTATCCCCAGAACCTAGCAAAATGCCTGGCATATAGTCTATACAGTCATCCTCAGTATCTGCAGGAGATTGGTTCCAGGACTCCCGGCAGATACCAAAATCCATGGATGCTTAAGCCACTGACATAAAATGATATAGTATATGCATATAACCTACGCAAATCCTCCTCTATACTTTAAATCATCTCTAGATTACTTATGATACCTAGTATAATGTAAATAGTGTTATATTGTACTTTTATTTGTATTTTTATTGCTGTATTATAACTTTTATGGGTATTTTTCCCCAAAATATTTCTATCTGTAGTAAGTTGGTTCCAAGAATGTAGAACTCGCAGATACTGAGGGCCAGCTGTACTCAAGGAGTTTGTCAAATTGATCTTAACTAAATTCTTGGAGAAGTATTCTCAGTTTTCTTTTAGACTAACTGTTCTGCTTAAAGATGAATGTATCAAATATTGGTCATTTTTAAAATTCAGAAAACATGAAAACAAACTAAATGTACATGTATTATTATTTGTATGTTTTTAAATCTATTTACCTTCACAGCACTTATAGCTGTGTCAAGTGTTGAAATCTCATGGTCTTTGTGGGTGCCAAATGCCTTGTCAGTAGCAGAAATTGGGCTTTTGCAGGTGTAGCAATATGTGTCGATCTGGGACTTTTTCAGTTCCGTTTGTGCCTTTTCAGTTACTAACTCTGATGGTAAGTGATCACGTTCTTTCCTCTCTCTGCCCAACTCTCTCTGTTCAGCAGACAGACTTTGTTCCGCCTCACTCACAAATTCATTTTCACTGATGTGTCCAAAGGATTCCTTTCTTTGAGATGACACATCTTCAGGTGTGGATTCTGAATATAGTTCTTCTGGTAAAATGTCTTGAGTAACCACTCCATAATTTGGAGATTCGGCAAATTCATACTCATCCTGAACAGGGCTATTGCGGAGCCTCTCTTCACTTGGCTCAAGTGGGACCAGGATTTTAGGTTCTTCTTGTGGTGTTTCTTGAACATAAGTTGCACCAGATGCAAATTCTTCCTCTGGGAAGGACACTTGTACTGGGACATTCAGATTGACCTCTGGACTTGCATTTCCCGCTTGGTTACCCTGACTGCTTGCTTCATCTATGGGCTCCAGAACATGATGGGTGTCTTCAAATGGAACCGCATAACTTATCTTCTGGGTAACCACTCTGACTTCCTCAGTGATGGGAACTTTCCTCTGCATCGCCACATTACTGGGGGTCTCCACATGGCCTACTGATTCTCCTTCACTGTACATTGCTTGCTGTTCATCTTCCAGACTCTTCTCCCCCAAAGTAGTTCCAAGCCTCTTCCAAATTTCTCCTTCTGCAGCTATTGGTTGATATGAATCATCCTTACCAACTCTTTCTTCCAGACCTTGGCCCTGGTCCTTTTGAGTTACAGATGTGTCATGAAGAATGTCATCTTTGAGTATGTACTTCTCAAAATATATTCCTGCTCCATCTTCAGTGTCAGAATGTCTGCTTGGAAATGATGCCTCAGAATTCACACTGTCACCTTCAGAAGCTGTCTCCCCTACCTTCTTTTTCTCTCCAACTGCTTCTTCATACAGATCCTTATATAGAAATGCAAGTGCAGGTGGCTCCTCCAGAAGTTCTGGATTAATGGCTTTAGCAGTAGTAGGAAATATTTGGGTTTGTGATAAAACTCCTTCCTCTGCCCCAAATAAAGGCATCCCAGGTGACTTTGAGTCCACATCTCTATTTATGCCCTTTGAAACATTTCTGTCAGCTGATTTTTGGATAACCAAAGACTTTTGGGTCTCTGGATAAGATTCTTTGCTGTGGTCCTTTTCTGGTCCATAAAAACTTTCATCTAATTTCACCAAATCATATTCATGTTCTAGGGTGTGTTCTTCCAAACTTTCTGGGAAAGAGATAGTCTCTTTTATAACTTCCTTTGAGAGTTTCTCTTCACCACTTAATTTCTGTGGTGCTTTCTGTTTTTCTGGGTCTGGGGAGATGTTATAATCAATCAAAGTATATTTTTCAAAATAATCCTCTTCACTGGGAATTGTGGGCTGAATAAAAGCTAAATTACCAGTTTGGGAATCTGTGGCTATCTCTTCTTTTGTCTTATGAGTTTCTTCTTCTTTATTTTCTTTCAATGACACAACTTTTTCATCAGAATCTTCTAACTTGCTCTTTAATATTTTGTGGCAAGCAACTGCCTCTCTATCATCATGGAGTGATAAAGTTTTAAATGAAGCCTTCTCTTCCAAATATTCTAACTTATCTTGCATTTGTTCACTTTCTTCCTGATCAGCTGAAAAAATAAAAGCAGGAGCATGAATATTTAATATCTCACAGCCTTCAGAAATGATACTAAAGGCACTCTTCTGATCTTCTGAAAGTCCAGCTGGCTTACTAGTGACTGTAAATTCTTCATCTTTTGTATATGTTTCTTCAGGCTCCTTGGACATTTCTTGAGTAGAAACCATTTTATCAGCATGGATTGCTGATGCATTAGTTATAAATTCAGCATAGTTGCTTCTTGCAGAAGAGAGTGGTTCATTTACGTGGGTATCTTTCCCAGCCTCCAAGTGCTGCTTTGAAACAGGAACAGATTGTTTAGGCATATCAGATGTGTGATCTTTAGATGTTTGAATAGTATGAACTGTATGCCTATCTGGAGTCGGTTCTGACCATGGTATTTCTTGTTTCTTGGCTGTATTAATTCCTGGAGAAGCTCCTGAAGCAATAGTTTGTGGTTTTACAGATGACAGCAAATATGGTGGTGTTTCTAAGTTCTTTGTTTCATCAAAAGGACGATCTAAACTCCTTTCTGATTCTTTAGATGGAGATCCTTGCTTCACGCTTTGTTTTGTGATATCTATTAAACCACCTTTGGATAGCTCTGATGCTTTGAACTGTCCCCTTTCTTCACTGGAACCTAGCATATCCCTGTGTGATTTTTCTAATACCAGGTTTCCTTCCTGAGATAAAGAGCGGTTATCTATTTCATCATGACAAGAAAGATCCGCTGGAAGGAAAGTCTTGGTTTTTTCCACCAAAACTTTGTTTTCTCCTAACGGATATGGTTGGGTTGCTACTGTCTTTGTTTCTCTGATCTCTGGATGAGCCTTTGAGAGATTGGTTTCTGATTTTTCAATAACTAATGTAGCTAATGAAAATGGTTGAGTTTCACCCAAGGAATGATCTAAAGAAACATCTAATTCTTTAGGCATAGACCTGGATACATTCACAGAATAAGGCTGATGTTCCTGCTTCTTCTCTTCTTCTGAAAACACCCGTGCCTGCTTTTGTTTTTCTTCTCCTTTCTCCTCTTCAGAACTGACAATGATTTTGGATCTTTCTCTGTGGTCTTCATTTTGACAGACTTGCTGCAGCATAGCAGCAGCTTTTGATTCTTCCAATTCAGTTGGTGTAATTTGTGCCTTCCCTACCTCATTATTATCTCTACGCTCTAATGGGGACACAGTGTCTTGTTTTTCTTCCAGCACCTTCTTTTCTGCCAAGATATTCAATCTGGTTTCCAAGTTATCTTTCTCCTCACCTGGGCTAACAGACCTGAGTTTTATTTCCTCTTCAGAAATTTTCGAGGAAATAGGTTTTGGCATTTCTTTCTTTAGTCTGTCTTCACCAAGATCAATTAAACTGCCTTTTGATTCTTTTACTGGCAAAATTATTGACTCTGGTTTCTCTGATTCCTTGGTGATATTTTTACTTGTGAAGACAGATGAAGCTGGTTCAGGCTGTTGTGGCACCTTATCCACTACATCAAATGAAAGGAGTGATTTTTCTTTTTGATCACTTCTTGGCTCTTCCTGAAGAATAGAAATATTCCATGTAGATGGAGGAGCGATTGCTGGCTTCTGGACTTTTTTACTTTCTGTAGCCTTAAGAGGAGCAACATTTTTGGCTTCTTCCACAACCAAGTTCTCACCAGCGGGTGAAAAAGGTTGAGCTCCAAGATGTTCCTCACCATCAGCAGAAGTAACTATTGATTTTATGTTCATTTTCTGTGAATAGTCTGGGATTTCTTTCTTCCCATAATCTTCACTAGACACCTCAGAATCAGATTTCGGCTGTTGTAAAACTTCTACATTTGATAACAATGTGGGCTGTGCTTTAAAGTCTTGACTTTCACTAGATTTAACTAAAGTACCTCTGGATTCGTCAGTAGTTTTAAGTTTTAACCCTGGTAATGAAGGATCAGCTGGTTTCTCAGTTGCATTAAAATCAGTGGGAATTGTGCCTTTAGGCTCTATCACAGTCACTGCTTTTTCTACAGGTGAACTCGGCTGAGTTTCTAAATCTTCTCTTTCAGCAGTTTTGTTATCTGGTGTGCTTGATCCAAAAAACAAACTGGACATCCATGATCTGAAAGATGAAATTCCTTTCTTTCCCTTTTCCTCAAGAAGGGCTGGCTTAACCACCTTGGGCTGCTCAGGCAGCTTCTGTGTCTCCTCAGGTGACTCTGGGGGGTGAGCTTCTTGACCTGCTAGAATTGAGGGGAGGGGTTCCCTTTGTGTGGGCATTTTCACTTCAGCTGCTGGTTTCCCTCCCTCACTGGCATCATCTACAACCTTTGATGGAACCATTTTTGATTCTTCTAATGGCTTTTCTCCAGGTAAAGGAGATGTGCTCCAGTGTGCTGCTTCTTCATTGCCCAGTGAAGGTTCTACAATTTCTGCCAAGAAATGAGCTGTTTTAACAGGAGAGGGCATAGTTTCTGACTTCACCTGCTCCACTGATGGGCCAGACACTGGTTTCTGGAGGATTCTTTCAGGAGGTAGTTTGATTTCTTCCTGGCTTTCTTCTTTGCAAGGCCTGGAAAACTCTGTGTTTGATTTCTCCAATATCATACTTTCATTCCCCATGAAAGAATGGATCTGCTTCTCCTCTTCTATGTTTTTCTCTACCTTTCCAGCTAGAACTAAAGATGTTGGTTCTTGAGCCATCTTTGCTTCTTCAAAAGAAGAGGTTTTACTTAATAAGGGCTCTACATTACCACCAGAAGTATCAAGAGCATGTCCTGGTCCTTGCAATGGCAAATGAGGTTCTTCAGCAGAATGTGGCAGAGGGTGCTTTCTGATTTCATAGTCATGATCCTTATCCATCACAGCAGCCTTAAGCTGCCCTGTCATTAGATCATCGTCACGAGAGGAATCTGACTCCATAGTTCCTAGTATTCTTTCTTCATGTTGACTGGCCAAATTTTCTGGCTTTTCCAACATCCAGTTTTCATCCTTTAGAGTAATAAAAGACTCTTTCATTTTTGTTTCTTTAACATCTACAGTCTTGGTTGTCATAAATGGTTTTGATTGCTCCAAAGGTACATTCTCTTTCATAAACAAAACTTGTTTAATACCCAGATCTTGTTTATCTACAAAAGAGGTGCTTATGTCAGGTAATTTAACAGCTTGATCTGAATGAAGTCCTTTTTCAGTCTTCTGTTCCTCAAGGAGGTCAGAAGAAGTGATCTTTGATGGTTCTGTTATACTTTGGAATATGCAGGCTGAATTTGGGTGGCTTGTTTCTTCATTTAGTTTAGTTACAATATCTTGCATCACTTGTGTCTTCACCTTTCTTGTTGGTGGTAATGGGCCTATTTCTTGACTTTCCCCTTTTTTAAAGTCAGTTGAATAGTTCAACTCTTCTGATACTTCTTTTAAAGAACAATTGTATGGCTGAAGTTCTTCTGGGTTATCTCTTTCTACTAGAGAGGTAGGTGTTTCTTTTGACCCTAGGCTAACCACCTTTGGAGAGAAAGGTTTAATTTCTTCATTCTGAGGTTCCTCCTCAAGGCAGGATGAAATCTCTGAAATTGCAGGCACTGTGGTAGGTACATGAAGTTTCCTGTTTTCTTCTTTTCCTTCTCTACTCCTAAGCTCAGCTAGGTCCTTTTCTAAAACAGAATCCCCTGTTTCAATTATGGGAGATTTTACTTGTTTGGTACCTATGGATCCACTTTGTCTACCTAAACCATTAGTGAATTCTGATTCAGCCTTTGGTAATTCTGATGGTTGGTGTAGCTCGTCTTTCTTCTCAGGCTCCAAAGAGAGCTTTGTCAGAGCAATATCTCGTTTATCTGACAAGAAATCTCCCTGAGCTGTAGGAGATGCCTCCATTGCCTGTTTGTTCTTATCATCACTGAGGGTCAATAATGTCGGGGCTAAATCTCCTGACACTAAATTTTCAAAATCAGAAGAACTTGCTATTTCCTCATCTTTGCTTTTTGGAAGTATATCTTTGGGTGCAGGAGACACATTTTGTGATAAACGAAGTTTAGTTTCTTCTTTCTTTATCTCACCACTTAGGTTGAGTGAAAGCACATGTTCAGGCCCTGACACCTCTGAGGCAGACAATAAATTATTTTTCTGTGATAAAATCAAATATTCAGAGTCAAGGACTATAGAAAATGGAAGACTTGGTTTGTCTTCTACCTTTGCTTGCTCAGATACATCTGAATGCTGAGATGATGCTTTGGTTATTGGCAATGCAGGCTTAACTTCTTCGGTTTCTACCTTTGACAAAATAGAATGCTCTGATATAGAGGAGACACTTAGAGGTGAATCAAGTTTAACCTCCTTTTCTGCTTCTGACCAAGCTAAAGGTTTGGATGAAGAAATTTCAATGGGAGAAGTATCTTTAATTTCTACCTTTTCTCCTTCTTTAAGAACAGAATGCTCATCTGTAGATGTTTTCAGTGGTAGCAAACCACTTCCTAATTCACCCTTTCCTACTTTTGTTAAGACTGGACGATCTAGAGGGGTGGCAAGAGATGAATCTGTTGGGATTCTTTCTTTTACCAATTGGGTTAAATTTGAATCCAGCTTAGTTACAGATGTTGTGGTTGTTGAGGGACTGGGTTCAGTTTCTCTGTTTACTTCTTCTGACAAAGCTGAAAATGCTGGTGCAGGTGGACCATGTTCGACTTCCTCTGCCACTCCTGATGAAGCTGAATGAAGCACTCTAGGTGTTGTCATTATTTTAGAATCATGTTTCACTTCCGTTTTCACTACTGATAAAACTTCAGGTGCAGATAAAGATGTTTCCTTTAGAGGTGAATATGGTTTTATTACTTCGGGTTCATTCTTGGACAAGATTCTCTGTTCTTGTTTAGAAGTCACATTTGGAGCTAAATTGGGTTTGACATCCTTCTTTGGCTCATCTACCAATTCAGGCAAAACTGAATATTCCATCCCAGACCCTGGAACATTTGGAGGCTGAGGCTTCATTTTTTGATCCTGTGATGCATGTGCTGTAGCTTCTTGAGAATCGGGCACAATTTCTTCCTTCCTGACTTTTGACAAAGCCATCTGTTCATCTGCAGCTTTTAGAGTAAGTGATGATTTAGGTTCCTGTTCTTTCTTAATTGCATGGAGTGAATCAGGTGAAACTGAATACTGAGATGCAGGCAAAACAGGTTTGGTTTCTTCCTTGGCCATGGATGACTGTGCAAGTAAAGAAGCAGATGTTGCAGCTACCGATGGACTAGTCTTCGTTTCTCCCTTCTCCGATTCACTGTTTAAATATGGTGGAATCAAGTCTTCAGACTGAGGCTCCAAAGATGCTTGAGTTTTCTGCTTGTGTGTCAAAATGAGATATTCAGATACAGATGTTGAAGTTGTTTGAACATCTGGCTCATTTTCCGCTTTCTCTGGTTTATTTCCTGAAGGTGGCAGACTCAAGTCTTCTAGTGCAGATATCAAAGGGAAAGGTTCAGCGTTTTGCTTCTGTGATGAACTGAAATGCTCAGGTACAGGTGTAGCAGCTGTTGATCCAATTTGTTCCTCGTCTGTTTCTGAAAAGCAGGAATATTCTGAAGCAGATGCTTCAGTTAATAATGAATCCAGCTCAGTTTCATTTTTCTCTGTTTCTGGGACTTTAAATGGTGGGATTGAAACTTGTGATGCTGAGTCTGGAGAAAAAAGTCCAGTTTCTTCAGTATCTTCATCTGACAAGATAGTGTGTTCAGATGGTGATGTTAAACATATTGGAGAATCACGCTCAAATTCTCTTTTCTCTGTTTCCTGAGTTTCATAGGATGGAAATGAGAATTCTGACACAAATGCAGAATCTGGAGAAAAAGGTCCAATGTCTTCTTGATCTTCTTCTGATAAATTCATGGGTGATAAGGCACCTTTTACATTTAGAGGGAAATTGTGGACAATTTCTTCCTCCTGTGACTCTGGTGTTGCAAACGGTGGTACTGAGAATTCAGAAGCAGACGTGGAAGAGGGTGTACACCGTTCCATTTCCACAATCTCTTCTTCTGATAGCACATGTTCAGATGGGGTGGTGGAGAGTGGTGGGGCCTGGCATTCAGAAGTTATCTCAGTTGTGTGTGGTGGGAAAGAGTGTTCAGATGCAGAGGCCACAGCTGGGGAATATGGCCCAATGTCTTTCTTCTCTTCTTCTGACAATACCATGTGCTCAGAAACACCTTTTGATTTTAGCGGGGTTTTATGGTCAATTGTTTCCTTCAACAACTCTTTTGCTGCGTGTGATGGGACTGAATATTCAGAAGCAGATGTGGACTCTGGTGTGTAACGCCCACTTTCTGAGGACTCATCACCTGACAGGACCACGTGTTCTGGTGTAACTGTGGAAAACAGTGGAGACTGGCTTTCCAAAGTCTCCTCAGCTGTGGATGGTGAAACAGAGCGTTCAGATTCAGAGGCCACAGCTGGGGAATATGATCCAGTGTCTTCTTTCTTTTCTGAGAGAATCATATGCTCAGAAACACCTTTTGATTTTAGTGGGGTCTTATGGTCAATTGTTTCCTTCAGCAACTCTTTTGCTGCATGGGAGGTGACTGTATATTCAGAAGTAGATGTGGACTCTGGCGTGTAACGCCCACTTTCTGAGTCCTCATCTCCTGACAGGACCACGTGCTCTGGTGTAACTGTGGAAAACAGTGGAGACTGGTGTTCCAAAGGCTTCTCAGTTGTGGATGGCCAGAGAGAATGCTCAGATGCAGAGGCCACAGCTGGAGAACGGGGCTCACATTTCTCATTCTCCTCTTCTGATAAAACTATATCTTCAGCTATAGTTTTTACACTGGATGGAGAAACTGGCTCAACTTCTCGTTCCTCTAGTTCATAGTTCAAATCCTGTGGTACTGAATACTCTGACACAAAAGCAGAATCAGTAGAAACAGATTCATTTTCCTCTCTTTCTTCCTCAGATAAAGTGCCGCGTGCAGGAGTTGATGTTGTCGGTAGTGGCAGAACAGGTTCCTCTTCTTTGTGCTCCACTTCAGGAGACAAACGTGGTAGGAAGGGCTTCTCAGAAACTAATGGACTTTCTGGGTATTCAAGTTCTATGATCTCTTCTTCCGTTATATTAGAATCTTCAGGCTCAGGAGTGGCAGCTATTGGTAGGGAAGTTTCTATGTCTTCTTTCTCTGGTTCTTCTAACACTAGAGATTCCGAAAGAGACATGGATGGCTCAAGCACATTTTCGTCCTTCTCTCCTTTGACATTAGGATGAGGAGGGGTCAGTTGTTCAGAGACTGGTTCTGCCCTTTCTAGCGAAGTCAGGTCTAGCTGTTCGTTGTCTGGGCCAAAAGCTTCCTGAGTAGATGCTGCCAGACCTGGTGAACCTCTCTCCAGAAAATCCTTCTCTGCCTCCAGTGAAATGGAACGGTCAGCAGAATACATATCTTCCTTCTGTACCTCATCAGCTAAAGATGGTGAGACTGAAGAGTCGTTCTCTGGAGTTACAGCTGTGTGGGAAGCAAGTTCAAATTCTTCCTTTTCTGTTTCCGGGAACACAGTAGCAGATGTATCAGGTGACAGAGGGGAAGGCTCCATTTCATGGGTTTTTGCTTCATTGTCTGGCTGTTGTGGTACTGACTGTGGAGGCCTGGGCTGTGTTTCTTGTTCTTCTGTGTCATTACTTGAATAAGAGGAAACTGTGTGCTCTGATGCAGACGTGGCATTTAAGGAGGAATCAACGTCAGTTTTGTTTTGATCTTCATGACTGAATAATGAGGTCAGGGACTTTGATCCTTTGAAGAGTGTACTTCTCCAGGGTGGGGCAAGCTCTTTTACTTTTTCATCTTCTATGCTTCGGGCTACTGATTTGCCTGTTTTGGAAACTGTGTTAGAATCATAATTGCCCAAATCTGGCTCTAAGCTAATAGATGCATCTTTCCCTTTTCTATAATGTATTTCTTTAATTACGTAACCCTTTGGCAATGTTCCATAAAATTGTAAAGGGATTAATTCTTCTTTAACTGAATTAAACATCTTAATTTTATATTGTACTGTTCCTATGTAGACTGGCCTTAACACTAACGGCTTGTGTTCTTTGTATATTGCCCCAGTAATAGGAGGTGTATTTGAAGCGGTCTTCTTTTTTCTTGTTTTATCATAAATGCCAGTGTATGACTTCTCTTTCTCGATGCTTTCTGAAATTAAGGGATTGTCTTTTTTGTTTGCTGGAACATCTTGGGATTCCAAAGAATTTCTTTTTTTGTTGGCTTTCCGACGCAATGATGGTGAGCCACGCTTTGCCTTGTGAGTTCTTTTCCGAGCCTTTTTAACTTCATCCACAACAAAGGAAACATTTCCTGGAGGAGAATTCACAGTCGACCCTTCCAGACTACACACACCAGAAGTCTGACTTTCTTCTGAGGCCCAAGGAGTAGAAGATCGATTTGAATTGGTCTCCCAGGTTATTCCACTGTCTTCCCGTTGAACTGTCACCATGGAAAAGGAGGGGTCAGATATGATACACTCCTGCTTGGTCTTGTCCTCTTCATCCTGGTCTGATAACCTACAGTAAATAATAATATTAATAATCATATGTTATAATGACATAATATTATTAATTAATTATTAGAATAATAAGTAAATATGTTTTTACCAGGTAAAAGATTAATGTGAAATTAAAAATAGACATCAACATTTCCACCCACATCAAATACATATCACATAAAGTTTAAAAATTGAAGTCAGGGTGCCAAATACGGTGACACATCCCTCTGGAATGACTCAATATCCCACAAACTCAAAAAAGCTAAAGTGAAATTCATTACTTTCCCTCATCAGGATTGCCTTCCTGCTCCCCTCAGGCTCACCAGTCACTCATGCTCACTCTAGTCACCAGAGTGCTCTCTGTTCCCATTATCACCACCTCACCTCGCTTGCCATCACCTCCCTCCTGGATCACTGCCATTAGCCTCCTACCTGGCCAGCTGGTACCACAATCACCTCTTCCCTTCCCCATCTTCAACCCATCCTGCTCATCTTTCCAGGCTAGCTTTACTAAACATTTCAGCATGCCACTCCCTGCTTTAAAATCTCAGTAAATTCCTTATACCTACAGGAGGGAAAAAAAAATGTCAAAATCCTTGGCTCTCTGATCCTATCTGACATAATTTCCATATCTACCTCCTCACTACCCCTGCAAGGTAAATTTCTGTTGTAACTATATGATTCATCGTCTGGTACATGTGTCGTGGGAACTCTGATTCATGATAAAAAGGGAAAAGGTCATTGAACATAGAGAGATCACAAAGGATGTCAGCCTACTGCACTTTGCTTTCCTCATCTATAAAACAAGAATAACAATAGAAACTATCCCATGGAGTGGCTGTGAGGATTGATTAATTCATATGAAATGCCTAGGAAAAGTGTCTGGCATGTAGTTAGTACCCAACAAATGTTATTTGTAATCAGGCCTTCCATGCAGTCCTTGGACTAGAGATCAAAGGAGGCTGGTCATGGTCATTTTCAATTGCCACAGGTGTTGGAAAGCCTGTCTCCTGGAACTGCTCTCATAGCCTCTCTGCCATGGCTGGCTTTGGCAGCCCCTTCAGTTGCCATTGGGCCCCTGTCTCAGACTCTGCAGCTCTCTTCTTCTCTGGAATGTTCTTCTACCTCCTCCTCACCTATGCTGATGCTGTTCCTCCACTTAGAATTCTTAGCCTCCACCACACTCCACCTCTTCTGCACATTTCAATTCTATCTACTCCTCAAGCCTTAGTTTAAAAACCTCCCCAGGACCATTCCTGATCCATTCAGCAGTCATGTCTGCCAACACTTCACAAACATGAAGTTCAAGATTCAAACTCCAAGGGCTATTTCCTCCAAGAATATAGTTACCATTTGAGATAAATCCAAACTATTGATCTATATCTTTCTACAACAATAAGAACAAAAAACTCTCTAAATTAAAACCACTAAGCATAAGTATTAAATTAAGGCACTTTTTTAAAAAATGCACAGAATTTAGGTCCCTTACTGATTCTTTTTTTTTCTTTTTTTAATCATCAGTCACTGATTGTATCAGTGGTTCTTAACTCTGGAACACTTAAAAGCACCTGTGGGGAACTTTTAAAAAATACTAATATCACCCATAACCCTTTCCACAGAGATTCTGATTGAATTGTACCAGGGTAGACTCTGGGCATTGCTACATTTTCATGTTTTCAAAGCTTACAGGTGACCCCAACATGTATACAGAGTTGAAATCACTGGCCTAAACAATCCTAGCTCTGAAACTTAAATAGCACATACTGTTCTTGCTTATGGGCCTTCTTGGTTTGTTAGGCTGACTAAGGACCAGGACCATAAGTCCTTGCGGGTACATTCTGCTCCCCTGGGTGAAACTTCACAGTCTCCCCAGAAATCTACTGCAGAGGGGTTATGGATGTCCTGAGATCCTTATGTCCTTACCTCTCATCACAGCCAGGTGGAGTCTGGGGCAGCCAAGCCCCTGGGCCACTAGCCTGCAATAGCAAGCAGCTTCATCCATTCACCCCACTATAAATATTATTTTCTACACCTGCCATAGGTGAAAAGGGTTGGGAAGCAGTTGGAAAAGTAGTTTGTCCATTTCCCTAGCAACTCTGCTCTCACTTACTTGCTTTGGTATTAAACTATTGAACTTAATTAGGAATTAATGCTCTAGCTTGGTCCTGAACTGAATCTTCCTTTAAACTGTTTTTTCAAGCTCTTTTACATACCTAATTAAAGTTATTTCACAGAATTTTCAATTCATATTATTTCTTCTTCCATGTCACTTAACAGAAATAGGATGAAATTAAAAATTGAGGTTATGACATGCATCTGGGAAGTCAGCATTTTGAATGCTCATGATTGTAGTAGCATTATAAAATTCAATTATAAATTCAATTTAGAGTTAACTATTGACTGTAAATTCAATGTGCCCAACCAGAGAACTTTTCATTACCAGCTAGAATGAGTTCATGAGTGCTGAGGAGAGTGCTGAAACAGCAATCAGAAGAAGGTAGAGCCCTACTGTGGTGGATTCACTCAATCATTTGCTTATTCATTCACTCATTTATTTCTTCATTTAATAAAGTTTTACTGAGTGAAAGTAAAACTTTTATTACACTTTGTATTCCTAGTATCTAAACAATAAGACAGAACATTCTAAGAAATTCAAAATATAATAGGGAGACAGAACTAAACATTTTAATACAGTGTGAAAAATACTATTGCAGAAGATAGGCAAGATACAATGAGAACAGAATAAAGAACAGATGACTTCACAGAGGAAAGATCCTTGAGTGGTTTGTAGAAGAAGAAATAGAGGAGTCTGCCAAATGGATGAGGAGAGAAGATGGTGTGAGGATGGGGAGGTCATTCCAGGAAAAGTTCACAGGATATGCAAAATGTGTGCATGAATAAACATTCTGGCTCACTGAGAGACCCAAAGTCGAATGACAGAGTCAATATGAATCAGAGAATAACTATACAGTATTAGCATGTGTAAAGCCATACCCATATTGTACTCAGTCTAAAGAAACAATGTAGTAACAGAAGGGAAATGGTCCCCATAGAGTTCAGAAATGCTGCCATGACTGCTTCTGACTGAGGAATGCAAGTGTTCTCATCTATGCATAGATCAGCATTTTATCGTTAAATGATATTGGCTGTGGAGATCATCTCACCCACCCCCCTCAGACTGCATTCTCACAAAGCAACCTTCTGGTTATTACTTGGCTTCCCATGTAGATTTATCTATAGGGGTGCAGTGCAATAAATCTAATGACTTAGGAGGCTCTCATTTTATTTCCTAAATTTATTTTTTGTGAGTTGTGTCAGTATAACTCAGTTCTCAAAAGATAGATTTCATTAAATGTGCTGAAAAAACATAAATTCTGACATTGCAAATTGAAGGACACAGGTCCTGGAATATGAATGATGACCATGTCAAAAATCCCTATGTTCCTTGTTCAGACCATGATCACCCTTCCTGGGTATGCCTTCTCTCTCTCTCTCTCTCTCCCCCTCCCTCCATTTCATCTTTGCTCAAGCAGAGACCAGCATCTTATTAAAAATTAAGTTATTTAGAATCATGAGTGGAAAGAGCCCTGTGGCTCTGTATCTCTCTTTTTTTTGTTGTTGTTGTTTTTTTTTTCTTTTTCAGATTCTGCTTTCAGAGAAAGTATTTCTCATCTTATAAATGAGGAAAGATGAGAGAGGGAATACATGTGTACAAACCGAAGTTTCTAAAGAGGAAAATGGCTAGCCATCAAAGTGGAGCTACCAAAATAATAATTTCCCATGTTTTATCATGTGTATCTTTGTTTTGAATTGATACTCTCATTCTTTCCTTTAAAAAATAAACCCTACACTCTGGAGATGTGAAATGGGTCCTCAAACTATTATCTGAAGGTTACGATTTGTAACTCCAGTCACGAGTCACTTAACAAGAGGGACACATTCTGAGAAATGCATCCTTAGGTGATTTCATCCTTGTTCAAACATCACAGAGTGCACTTACACGAACCATGATGGTATAGCCTGCTGCACACCTAGGCTACGTGGTACAGCCTATTTCTCCTAGGCTACAACCCTGTACAGCATGTTACTGCACTGAATACTGTAGGCAATTGTAACAATGGTAAGTATTTGTATATCTAAACATATCCAAACATAGCAAAAGTACAGTAAAAATATGGTACTATAATCTTATGGAACCACTGTCATATATGGGGTCTGTCATTGACCCAAACATGAAACATCATTATGTGGCACATGACTATATTATACTTCGTTTCTGCAAAACTCAAGATTTGTATTCTAGGAACTGGTAGTTCCTTCCTCCAATCACAGTGAAAGTGCCATTAAAGTTCTTGATAGCAATATAATTATGAATAATACCTTGAATTTTCATGAGGCCTTATTCTGTCTTAAGCAATCATAGTACACTAACAGGAAGTATATAAAACAAAATAAGGTAATGGGTGAGATATTTTTCCAACTAAATCTTTTTAAATGCATTAATATCAATTGTTATAACAATTGGAAAGTCACATAGGATCCTGCTTGTATTACAAACTTTGAAATATAGTTTTAAAACATAAAACACCCACCCAGCAAACTTGTGATCTTATAATACAAACTGTTAGTATTTTATAAGTCTTAAAAAAATTGACTTCTTAAAAATATGATTACTAATTCTACAGTTAATATCTCACTGAGAATTAATTTAATATCCATATCTTTAGCAGAAAAAAATATCATCTGCATTGCTGAACAAAAGTATTATAAAACAGCTTAGGTTAAAAAGAGTGTATATGCCACTAGGGAGTTAAGAAAAAAATTTATGAAACCATGAATGAAAAAAATTATTATACAGCATTATTATGCCATAACAGAAAGGGCTCCTTTTGTGGATATACTAAGAACATTCAAGTCCATTGTGGATGGAAAGAATAAATATCAACGACCAGATAATTCAGAAGCCTGGGAGTTAGGGCCTTCTATTATCTGAAACCTAGTTATTTCCCCCTTCATGAA